CCATGAGAGAGATCGTTCACATACAGGCGGGTCAGTGCGGCAATCAGATCGGCGCCAAGTTCTGGGAAGTGATCAGCGATGAACACGGCATCGACCCGACCGGCAGCTATCACGGCGACAGTGACCTGCAGTTGGAGCGCATCAATGTCTACTACAACGAGGCATCCAATGGCAAGTATGTGCCGCGCGCTGTGCTCGTCGACCTCGAGCCCGGAACCATGGACTCAGTCAGATCAGGTCCGTTCGGACAGCTCTTCAGACCCGACAACTTCGTGTTCGGACAGTCGGGCGCCGGAAACAATTGGGCCAAAGGACACTACACCGAAGGTATGGCCGCCACTCACTCTCTCTCCCCTTTGTGTCCGCTTTGTTTAGTCTTCCTTTGTATTGATTGCAACGATTATGGCATTCATTGATTGATTCATTGTTTGATTGAATGGCAAAACAGGCGCCGAATTAGTGGACGCAGTGCTGGATGTGGTGCGCAAAGAGGCCGAGGGTTGCGATTGTCTGCAAGGTTTCAAACGATTATGGCATTCATTGATTGATTCATTGTTTGATTGAATGGCAAAACAGGCGCCGAATTAGTGGACGCAGTGCTGGATGTGGTGCGCAAAGAGGCCGAGGGTTGCGATTGTCTGCAAGGTTTCCAAATGACCCATTCGTTGGGCGGCGGAACCGGTTCTGGAATGGGAACTCTCCTCATCTCTAAGATCCGGGAGGAATATCCCGACAGAATTATGAACACCTTTTCAGTGGTTCCGTCACCGAAAGTGTCGGACACAGTGGTCGAGCCCTACAACGCGACCCTTTCTGTCCACCAGTTGGTGGAGAACACCGACGAGACCTTCTGTATCGACAACGAAGCCCTCTATGATATCTGTTTCCGAACCCTTAAGCTGACGACTCCCACGTATGGAGACCTCAATCACTTAGTGTCGGCCACAATGTCTGGAGTGACCACTTGTCTCCGATTCCCGGGACAGTTGAACGCAGATCTGCGCAAACTGGCCGTCAATATGGTTCCCTTCCCTCGCCTCCACTTCTTTATGCCCGGCTTCGCTCCGCTCACCTCCAGAGGCTCTCAACAGTACAGAGCCCTCACTGTTCCCGAACTGACACAACAGATGTTCGACTCGAAGAACATGATGGCCGCCTGCGATCCCCGTCACGGCCGCTATCTCACTGTCGCCGCCGTCTTCAGAGGCCGTATGTCTATGAAGGAAGTGGACGAACAGATGCTGAACGTGCAGAACAAGAACAGCTCCTATTTCGTCGAATGGATCCCCAATAACGTGAAGACCGCTGTTTGCGATATCCCTCCGCGAGGTCTCAAGATGTCGGCCACTTTCATCGGCAACAGCACCGCTATTCAGGAGCTCTTCAAACGCATTTCTGAACAGTTCACCGGTAAGTGATTGGCATTTGTGGAGAGATTAGCCTTTATTTATAACGTTTGTTTGGTTTGGTTGACAGCTATGTTCAGACGTAAGGCTTTCCTCCATTGGTATACCGGCGAAGGTATGGATGAGATGGAGTTCACAGAAGCGGAGTCTAATATGAATGACTTGGTGTCTGAGTACCAACAATATCAAGAGGCGACCGCTGAAGACGAGGGCGAGTTCGAAGAGGAAGAGCCACAACAAGACGCCTAAGAGACAGCTCTCATTCAGCCCACACTTGAATTCTTAATTTTTTATATCGATTACTAATTTTTTATTTAATCTATTCTTCGAACAGCTTTTATATTGAATTACAGTTTTGAATCACTTATCAGTCATTAGATCTGATTATAAATGTTTACTTAAATTTAGAGAAAAACCTATGTTTTGCACTAAATGTCTAAATTGTTAAACTATTTTTTAATCGCTAATTACTATCACAAATGAATACAGTATTAAATGATTGATTAAATGTTTTTAATTTGTACTAATTTTTACAATAAATGAATGGCTTTCGCACTGCCGACACATGAGACCAGCCTTTCCTCCCTATCCTCGCAATCCATGAGCCAAATGTTGATTCAATATTTGCTTTTGAGTACAACATTGACAGCCGGAGTCTAGTCTGCAATCGACAGACAAATGTTGTAATAAATCATTTGATAATTTGTCTGAATTGTTGTCTAAGAGACTGAAACCGGAATTCAAGGGTTAATCGATTTGAATCATTGATGGCATCGACACCAACACCACAACCGGTTTATTGCCATCATTTGGACGTTTACTATGAATGCATCCAATGATGGCATTTCACATGCAATACAAAACACATTTTAATAATACAGTTATCATCACTTAATAGCGATTGAAATGTCATTTTCAAAGGACAACTCGTCCACAGTTATCGACGGCATCGATGACGAGCCCATCAATAAACAGGTCAAACATCGCGATCTATATCTTAGTTTTCATATTCAATATTATAATCGGTTTTTTGTTTTGTTTGCGAAACTCTTTTTATAGATTAATTTGTTTGGACGCGATATAAGTCGAGTGCCGTGTTTTAAAGAATCCTTCCTTTACGGCCTGTTGGGCGGCATCGGCTGCGGTCTCATCACATTCACGGCCACCAGTAAGTCATTGTATCTCACATTCAGCCCTCCCTTACAAACACACACCCATTGCCAGCCAACACACACCTGCCTTACCCTGAATTTTTAAAGTTTTTTTGTTAGTTTCAAGAATTGATAGTTTTGTTAGAAACCAGTGATAAGCCATTAATTTACATGTTTTTATGACTCTATTTTCATGTACTGCGCTATAAATGTCACAACAAATTAATTATTGATTTAATATTAACACCATTTGAATGAATGAATAAATAAGAGAACAAGAAGTTAGAGAACCGGTTGAGCTATTTATTCGTTTTTTTATTTGAACACAAACTTTATAATTGATAATTGATTTAACAATATATCGATTACTATCAATAAACTATAGAAGCAGTCAATACTTGTATACAATTATCAAATAATTGCTAAACTAATATATTATTTCTCTTTATATCTAAAAAATAAAATAATTTTATGCTTTGTTTGTATAAAATAAATTTTTTGTAGATTTTTTCCGTCAAATCATAATATTTCATAATTTGTTTCATTCGCTGATTCAGTAGTTTTCAAAGTAATCGTAATTAACATAAAAACATATCCATATTTACAATATTTATATATTTAAGTCTTAAATATATGAATAGTTTGGCGAAAATTGTTTTTATATTAAACGGCAATGAAATGTGACAATAAGTCCAACTCTAATGTTTGTTGAATTGCACCGACAGGTCGTGTGGGGAAGGCTTGTAATATTGCCGTCTATTCATTCACCGGAATAGTGTTTGTCTATTGGCTTCACTGTCGCAGCAATATTGCAAAGACTCGGTTCACTATCGCACAGACGGAGGGATACGTCACCAATAGATATAGTGATAGCAGCGATGGAACCGCCGATACACTCAAGACGACGGCCACTGAATGATACAATTAAACAAAAATAATAGTAACAAATGTTGGGAGAAATGTGTTGACAAACAAATGACAAGAAAAGGGGAGTTTAAAGCAGTTAGAAGTTGACAATTAGATCGGTTTGTAGAGTAAAGTTGTCACATATTTCTTGCGGTAGCGATGGGTTGCACTCAATACCATTACCCCATCCTATAGTCAATTCATTCAATTTATTAGTTATTGTAAATAAATTTATATTGAAATAAATACTGTTAATGAAATCGATGTATACCTTAATGGAAAGGGCGTACAAATGGTTAAGCATAACGTGATTGGGTTGAGGCAGAAGTGTTGGCTCATAGAAGTTAACGTTTGGATTATTGAGTATCACTTGCAATAAGTGCGGCGGAAGTATTGGCGGTCCGGCGCTAGATATCTGATGTGACGGTTGAATGTTATTGTTTGCAAACTCATGAATGTGTCTCACCGAAGATGGCATGTCCTGCGTATAAGAACCTACATTGGGATCAAACAAACACTACAATTAGTATGCGTTGCAAAACAAGTGAATCTCATCCGATTGTCTTACCCGGAGGTGAACCAGAAGTAGAGTTATTATTGTTATTTGTGTTATTTGTATTTGAGGCCAAATCCATGGCCAGCGCTTCAAACACTTCGAAGTCTCCCTTTTTAATGTTAATTACGTTATTCCTCTTCTCCTCGTCGACAGTGATGTTGTCGTCCACTACTTCTTGTCCGTCGACCACAAACTTGTAATTATGTGTTCCCTAGAGATAAAGGCATCCAATGGTATCAGTGTTCAGATTATAAACTAATGGATCAATTGATTCGGTAATACTTCGGGCACATCAATGATGGCAACGAAGTCTCCGTGAGAGTGACACATCTTAATTGGTTTCCATTCGCTGAACGTTCCCGTTATAAACACCTCTTTGCCACCGCCTGTCCTCACATTAAGTCATAGTTATAGCACTTAAACGATAATCAGATTCATTGGATTCACTCGAGTGTGTCATACCTTCCCATTTGAAAACAGTGGGCAATGCGTTCTCATTAATAGCGGTTCCCTCGGTGATAGTGGACGCCCTGAGACGACCCTATCGTTCAAATGATAACATTAATAGAGGTTATACTCAATGCCATAAGAGATGGTAACCTTGAAGTCATCGGTGTCTTCGTTGCCGTATTCAGAGGAAGACTGATAGCAGAGGACAGGCTTTTTGCGACCGCCGGCCACGAACTCGAAGGTACGGTTGTCTTCAGATCGAGGACTACTCGAATAACCTTGAAGTCATCGGTGTCTTCGTTGCCGTATTCAGAGGAAGACTGATAGCAGAGGACAGGCTTTTTGCGACCGCCGGCCACGAACTCGAAGGTAGCCAACAGAAGTCTAGCTCCTGATGAGCTGAGAGCGGATAGCATTCGCGACAGGTGTCTTATCCAAGCCAGAGAGAAACTGCTTCTCCACCACAAACTCAATGGGTAGTGAGTTTGTGCTGAAGTTAACAGATATCAATACAATAATAAACAGTCAAAACATTATGTTTTTATATTTCATTGTCTTTTAAATGTGTTTTGTTTTCAACACAAAAGTCATTAAAAAATTTTGTTTTTGTTTTTTATAACAAAAAATTGTAAACAAAATCACACTTCAAATGAGACTTACTTTTAATTAACCAAAAATTGCAAAAATCGTTTCGTCGGACAAAAAACACGAATCAAACAAATGGTTAAAAATTGTGACAAAAAAATGAAATGATATTTAAAAGTGGATTTAAAATGGATTTATAAATGAAATGCAATTATAATATGATTTGCAGTAAAAGTAGTGCACAATTGATGAGGAAATCCTCAAAACATTCAACACTTCAATCATTAACGGTTAGTTCCTATTACTGGCCGGATAACTGGCTGACGAGTTTAAAATTGTCGGTAAAAATCAGTCTTAGCTGTCAGTGTGAAAAAACTTCAGCTATTCCTAAATCAAACCTTTGAGCTAATT